TGCTAACGAGGCGGGGGGCAGGCACGTGATGAAACAAAGGAAGTCTCAAACTCAAAGGAGATCTCGACCCAAGTTTGGATATCTCGACAGCGCCCTCCTCGACGCCCGCCTGGCTCTGTTAGCTCTGGGCTCTTCTCTGAACATCCTTTCGGAGGGCGGAAATTGTGGATTGGGGGAAATGCCGCCGGCGAACTCATAGGGAAACCCGTGGACCTCTCCCACTACTCCGTGGACCTCTCCCGTGATGCATTCTGACCAGAATTCAGACGCGGCAGCGACGGCCTCCCAGGAAGCCCACGAAGAAGAATATTAATAAATTATGATAAGAACAAGAAGAAGAGGGACAAAGTAACGGTTTATGTACATTTTCCTCCTCTGAACATCGGCACGGAGTCGGAATCGAATCGGATCGCATCGAAATTGACTCCGGGGGCGGGCTCCTCTGGAGCTGGCTGCCCCACGCCCTGGCCGCCTGGTCCGCGGCCTGCACCAGCGGGTTGGCCTGCGACGCGCGCGCTTCTTCCGGACGCACGCGGACGCCATCGCCAGAAGGAGGCGGGGGAGGGGAGGGCTACCAACCTCCTGTCCCGATCCCTGGGATTCACAAGACCAAGGGCAATGACGATCAGGGCTGCGCCCTCTGAAGCACCCTTGAGACCAGCATGGCGGCAAGGCGATGCCACTCATGGGGATTGGGGATAGGGATATGCTTCGTGCTGGTAAGAGTGGGACTCGAGGTTGCGTGACGCAAACGGGTTCTGAAGGACACGTGTCCTGCACCGGCTCCTCGTCTCGAGTCGCTTTCTGCCAGTCCTGGGGCCCGTGGAGGGCCCAGGAGGCCAACCACATTGCAAAAGAACCCAGGGCCCGTTTCCTCGGAATCCGCTCCCTTCACGGCGGCGCATTGGGGGGGCAACGTAAGGGGGGGAGGTCGGCCCAGGGGGGAAACATCGAGATTGAATCGGCGAGACGTCGCGAATCCCTGCGTACGTTCCCGAGCGGGGTGGGCTATCGGTGCCCAGTCGACGATCCATGGGCGAGACTGGGGGCCGCCGCGTCCCTGCCCCCCTGAGCCCATACCCCCCGACGTTGCCCCTGCTGCACCCACAGAGGCAAGTCTGGAGAAGAAGGGGCTTCGACCGCACGAACCGGTGATTTGTGGTTACGTTCGAGCATCAGACAAAGCCTTGTGTTCTGCTGGACGACGAGACCAGCAAGTTCAGGCCCTCAAAGCGGGCTTGAGGCATGCAGACAAAAGCCAACGAGGGTCTCGTGGACGGGCTGCCTGCTGTGCAACCCCACCCCAGTCAGCTGGCCAGAACGAGGCAGAGCTCAGCTGGTGCAGAGGGGCGGCGCGGATCGGCCCGACCACCGCAGGCGAGACAGCGGCGGAAACGCCCGCGGGCTCGACGTGCGGGTGTGCGGGGTTCGTGATCGGGATCGTGGCCACGCCGTCCCACGGCACCCGAGCCCAGGCATGTGGAGGGGGAGGGAATGAGGAGCATCGTTTATCCGATGCCTATCCCCAGCGGCGTGGCCTGGGCCCCACTGGCCAATGTACCCCCCTAGATGGGGATATATGCCGTTCCCTTCGGGTTTCGAGGGGTGTATCCCCAACTGGGGGGGTTATTTGAGTTGGGGGTCTCGAAGAGGACGGGGATGGGGATGGGGATGTAGGCGAAACGATACTGAATTGAGGAGGTAATTAGAAGAGAGGGCTGAACCACGGGAAAGGCAGTGGCCGTGAATCTGCCTCAAGGGCCCTGCCGTTCCCGGCGCGTCCTGGAAAAGTCTTGCGTCCACCTCTGCCCCCCCCCCCTCCGCGATTACACAATATGAATACTACTCTCCTCTCTCCCCTGGTGACGTCCGGGTAATATTCGGCCCCCTCCGCGCACACAGGATTCCCGGGAGTTGGGTGTTCGCTTAGATTTGTTTGTTCAAAATGCTGCACTCGCTGAAGCGCTGGCCTCATTTTCGGGCTACCGCTCGTTCCAAATCGTGCTCCCGTCGCAGCGCTGGCCTGATCTCCGCGCTTCCGATCGTTCCGAATTTTCCAGCGCCATGCCACGGGATGGTTTTCGGTCCTTCCGAATAGGCCCCAAAATCTAAGAAATGCCCCCCAAAAAAAACAACCATCGGAAGTGATTCCACATTCGGTGTCGATTCGTTGATTTGTTTGACCGCAGCAGCCCGCCCCCCCACTTTGGGGCGGTGCCACGCCATGCTATGTCAGGATACGCGTTGATCTTCAACACCATGCTATGCCACGTAATGCTATGCTCTGCTACGACATCCGAGTGTGCGAATAGAGAGGAGATCTACGCCATGGTAAGGGATGCGAGGGAGGGTTAGGACTTCAGATATGACGCGAGCGCACCTAGCTTGCCCCCGCCCCTCCCCCGATTTCCTCCCCCGCTGCTCCTCTTGCTGTTCCTCCTTCCCTCCCGCTGCCCCCCCTTCTTGCGCATCCTCTTCCTCCCTTCTCCCTCCTCCTCCTCCTCCTCCTCCTCCTCCTCCTCCTCCTCATCCTTCCTCCGCCTCTTCCACCCTCTTTCCCCCCCCCTTCCCGTTCATCCTCCTCCCCCTTCCTCCTGCCTCCTCCTCCTGCCCTGCCTCCATCCTGCCCCCGCCACTCCTTGAGATCCCTCCTCCCTTCCATCTCCCCTGGCGCACAGGGAAGGGGAAGCAGAAACAACGATCAGAGAGGGAAAAGCGGGAGAGGAGAGGGGGGGGAGGAGATCGCGGGCTGGAAACACATCCGTATCCACGGCCTCGCAGGCCGGGTCCCTGAGCCGCGACCGCATCGATTCGAGGCGTCTCTTCGCGAATGCCCCGCGCGGAATGTGTCCATGCTACCGCGTATCCACACAGAATCGCCCCCGGGATTCAGACCGCGAGGGCCTGGCTGAAGATATGCTCGACGCGGAGGAGGACGAAGGGGGGGGAAGTGGACGGAGGGCGGGGGAGGAGCCCGCTCCGCTCCCGAATTTTGGAGGAAGGCCTGCGGGCTACAGGGAGAGGGCGCGCCGCGCCCGCCACCCGCGGAGGAGCGCATCCCCCCTCCGCCCTGCCGCGCCGACGGCGGCGGGGGCAGGGGGGGTGGGGGGGCATGGGCCGGAAGCGGAAGGAGACAGTGCGAGGCGGGGATCTGCCCATCTCCACCGCCCAGGGAGCCGATGTCCCAGGACCCCACGGCACAGTGGACAGGGGCACACTTGGGGCACAGAGGGGCCCGAGCGCGTCCATGCACATCCCACGCCTGCCGAGGACCCCGCAGATCGATCCCCATGGGCGGTGGCGATGGAAAGGTCCCCACCTCGGGGACCGAGCGCGGTCGGGGACTCAGGGAGGCGAGGGCGACGAAGGCGACGGCACTTACGACATCGACGACGGCGGCTGCGTCGACACCGGGGCGCGCGCTTGTGGCGGCAGCCGCGGCGGCGGCAGCTCAGTACTGCACGGTGAACCTGGCGCCGTCCTTGCAGCCCTGCGGCACCAGCGCGTGCAGCAGCTGGCCGTCGGGCGCCTGGACGTGGAGCACGGTGCCCTGCGCGCCCGCGGGGCACACTACCTGTAGGAAGCCACTGCTGGGAGGTCGCAAGGACGAGTTAGAGCTACTGAGCCAGACTGACGGGCCATTGAGCCAGACTAGCCCACATGAAGCCCAAGAGTAAGCCGGATTGAGCGTGATTCAATGGAATTGAGCAGGTCCATGGCAGACCGTGCGGCGATATCGAAATCCCGAAAGGCCTCACCGCACGATCCGTGACAACACTGTTGCGAGATCTTGGGGGCCCCAGTCGCCCGAGACGTCCTCGGACAACCCAAATGTCAAGTCTCTGCAGTCACCTCGAATCCCCGCAGACTCCGTGACTTTTGGGTGCTCCCGAACCTGGAAGGTGCGCGAAGGGTCGACTGGGGCCGCGTCCTTCCTCCTGTACGTGATGATCCAGTTCGGGTACATCTGTTCCTCACCAGCGGGGCGCAAGGGGGGGCCATGCAGGCCTGTCCTGACCACCTCCTCGAGCGAGCCGCGCCGACATAAACCTCGAGAGAAAATCGTCCAGCAACTGTCAGTGAACCCGGCGCAACCCAAATTAGGGAAATGCCTATTGCATGGGCGCCTCGCTGGGCGCATCGCCTGGCATCGCCTGGCATTGCCTGGCATTGCTTGGCATGGGTTGGCATTGCTTGGCATGGCCTGACATTGCTTTGCATTGCTTGGCATTGCTTGGCATCGCTTGGCAGTGATTGGCATTGCTTTGCATGGATTGACATTGCTTGGCATGGGGCAACCCGGGTCGGTGAAAACGAAGAATCCGGGAAACCCGAGCAACCCGGGGAACCCGAGGAACCTCCGAGGAACGGGCAACGTAATAATAGGAGGTACCGGGGGCGGGGAACCCAAAGAACCCAAGGGTCCCGAGGATCCCCCGGGCAACGGGCAGTGTAACGAAAGGAGGTAGCGGGGAACCCGAGGAACCCCAGGAACCCGAGGAGCCTCCGAGCAACGGGCAAAGTAACAATAGAAGGTACCAACCTTTCACAAAGCAAGAACCCCTTGGGCATGCCTACTTGGGAAAACAAGCGTCGTCGTCTTCCCTTCTGCGCACCGCCAGCCTTGTCGAAGACGACGAATTCGCGGAACGTGTTGCGCGCCTTCTTACGGTCCCCGAGCACGGAGTGGAAGCGGCCCCTGACGCAAACGTCTTCGCATTCGCGAGGATTTCGGGGGAACACAAAGGTACTGATACCGCCAGTCCCTGGACCTCTCCCAAAGTGCGTTCGGACCAGAATTTCGACGAGAGTCCAGCCGTGGCGACGAGGGATCTACAGGACGAGCAGCGGTGTCGGTATCGTTTCTTCCCCTGAGATTGGTGACGACCGCGTCGGAGTAGAACACACGCCCCAAGACGGCTCGGCAAAGCAGCAGGTGCCGCTCACCTTCCGGCCCAGGCCGTGTGTATTCGTCGCTCTGGTCGGCCAGCCGCCAACGGGTGGGGGATCCGTTGCTGATCCCTCTTGGGGCACTATGCCAAGGAAGAACAATGCCGAACTTGGGAGGGAGAGAATGTAAGGACACGCTGCCGTTGGTAGACTGTCAGCGTGTTACTCCTTTGTTTTTATCTGGAGGCCAGGCTTTGCTTTTCTGGCCAAGGCGAGCCTCGGCCATGTACACCTTTCCCGACCTAGAGCTGCTCACAGCCCCTGCTGGGCCCGAAAAAGGCCAAACTTTAGCGCCTGTGCATCGTGTATGTCTCTCTCTCTCTCTATATATATATATATATACACGATAAGAAAAAAAAGAACACATCAACGATCGGAGGTCCGCGCGGATTTCTTGGATCGGCGCTGGACCCCCCTCTTTGGCGCGAGGGGACGTGCCAATGGCGGCGCGGGAGGCGCCGCCAGAGGATCCAGCGCCGATCCAAGGAATCTGCGCGGACCTCCGAACAATCATGTTTATGTCGTTTGCTCCCCTCCTCCGATAAACCAACGGGCCTCCCAGGGGGTTAGAAACGCCGCCTCCGCCACAATTGAGGCTGGCCGGTCTTGCTGGCGTTCTCGGCCAAGTACACCCCGCGCCCGTACAGTGAGCCAGCGTTGCTGCCCGCGAGATTCGCCCTAAAATCCTCGGTGGTGATCTTGTTGGCGGCGATGGCGCTGGTGCCATGAAACAGAAACACTTCGTTGCAGTCGGCCCGCATTGGCTCCCCGAAATCACTCGCGAGAGCCTCCACGATACCCTCGACGGGGTCGCCGGGCCCAGCACCCGCTGCGTCGGTCGAGACCATGGTGTCCACAGGGTAGACCACGAAGTCGGCGGGGTCTGCCTCGAGCTCCCTGCGGACAACCTCGCGGCGGGCCATGTAGTTCCCCCAGAGCTGGTCGTTGGTCACCGTAGTTACACGGACCACCTCCAGTCTCTCGGGCACCGGCTGGCCCATGCGGTCCCGAGTGTAGACCTTGCGGTGGGTTGCGTCGAGGAGCCGCTGGAACTTGGCCAAGACCGCGGCGTCGCTCACAGGGAGCTTGGCGACCGCGAACTTCCCCTCGCGCTGCAGGACCATCTTTGCGACGTCCCACCCTTCGGGGAGGCGCCTCACCCTCTTGTCGGAAGAACAACAGACAGCGTAAACATAAACGTTTGGAGCTCCACGCGGATTTCTTGGAGCTGCGCTGGAAACCCCTCCAAGGCGCACGGAGCGCACCAGGGGCCGTGCTGGAAGCGCCGCCAGGGGGTCTCAGCGCCGATCCCAAAAATCCGCACGGAGCTCCAAAGAACAATGTCTATGCTGTGTCTTCTTCTTCGACTTGTACATCTCGGCCGCCTCACCGAACTCTGGGAGGTCGGTGGCGTTCAGCCTCTCCGCGGCGACCAGCGCACCCTTCAGCTGCTTGTCCGTGCCGGAAGCGATGGCCTCCGCCAGCTGCCGCTGGGCCACCTTGTGGGCAGCCTTAGCCATGGACTCGGGCACCTTGTTCGATCCCAGGAGCATGGCTCTGGTGCTGCCAGAAGTGTCCCTGACCGAATGTCTCCAGGACCTGAGGCCCCCACGGCCTCCAGAGCACCCCTCACCAGGCCCAGAGGGCCCCCAGGGGCTCATAGTGGAGCGGCAAGCTGGGACCCCCCTGGGGCCCTGCCAGGGACGCCTTTGGCAACTCCAGAATGGCTGGCCCAGCGCTGTCCAGGAGCCGGTTCAACTGGTCGTAATCCGTGCTGGCCAGGGCGGCATCCATCTGCTTGCACACCGCGCCCTTCCAGTCCGACCTGAATTCGGTCATGAGGTCGGCCGCTTTCGCCCTCCACTCGTCGGGCCTCTTCCCCGTGTGCCTCTCGATGTGGGACGAAGCCCTCGTCTCCATGGACGCGGCCTTTGGGCGGCGTCATCCGAACCCTACCCCTGCCAACCATCGAGTCTCCGGAATCGACGGGAGCCCGGGGCAGGGCTCGGATTTCGCCACGTCTTCGACGAACTCCGGAACCTACCCCCGCCTTCTGAAACCTACCCCCGCCGCCCATCGAGTTGCCGGAATGAGGCGGTTTCCGCCGCCGAGCCTTGTCTCTCAGGCGGCTCGAGAGGCCACTCGCAAAGCCGTTCGTCATGTTTGAGGCGTTGGTCATGACCGAATTCGAAGGCCTGGGAAGCCCCGCGCCCGCCGCCGCGGGGGCGTGCTGCGCCGCCACGACCGCGCCAACGCCGAGCTGCCCGTGGAGATCCAGAAAAAACACAGGGAGGGCATATGTCTCGGACGTCCGCGGGCGCATCCCCCCGATTGCGGGCAAGATGTACGTCTCGCCATCGCTCGGACGTCCGATCCCCGTGTATGTTTCGGTTGCGTGCGATTATTTTCCGTACGATGATCCAGGATGCTCCTCGATGGTCCTCGCCGAGAAAAAATGCACACGCCCGAGCGATGCCAAGCTATCCGTATCCATTGAGAACTGATCCATAGCCACTGCGCCTGTACTCGGCCTCTTGGCGCTCCTTCCCACAAAGTCCAGGAAACAGTGGATACGCGCATAAATCTTGCCTGCACCGATGGCTCCAGAGCCTGACCAGACGACAAAAAAAGTATCATACGTGGGCGAGAAGCATATCCGTGTCAAAAGCAACGCAGGCCAAACCCCTGGGCAACGCCACGCGGGTACAGGACGTTTCCGCGGATCCCCCTCGCGGATCGTGTCCGTGCGACCGCGTAGACGCGGAATCGAACCCTGGAATCCAGACCGCGAAAACACGGATGCGGGTATAATATGCTCGCCACCCGTGAAATCAAGGAGATGTTGACAAATCACTTCACCTGGCATCGAATCGGAACAACGGATCGGATCCGAGCGTGCGCCAAATCGAGTCGGAACGGATCGGATCGGCCGCGCCAGGATGGGCAACATGGCCAGCATGAGTCCCGATCGAAGCGGATCGGTCGGATCGAGATGCATCGGATCGAGATGGACCCTGCGTGGCGGGAGAAGCCTTCTACGGACGTCCAACATCCACACCCGCGCGGTATCTTCTGTGTCTCCGTGCTCGCTGGGGTGGGCGGCCGGTTGAACAGGAGCGGCGGCTTGCCACGAGCCAAACGGGGGTCTCGAAAAGACCGAGCCCAAAAGCCGGGGGTTCTTCCCCCAAATCTGCAGTTTCATGCCGAGCTGGCTTCTGAGGGCCCCTGGCCCCTGGGACTGGCCCTGGTAGGCCGAAAGCGCTGGAAGAGGACATTGGGTCCCGTTCTCCCCCAGGCACACTCGCTTCGTGGCGATCCTCCTCATCCTCCACCAAAGATCCACGGATCGGGAGAGCTGCCCACCCAAACATGAGGCTAGGACCGCCTGCTTTGGCGAGGGAGCACGTCGATTACATATGGAAGCGGGACCCGCCACTAACCCACGCGCCTGAATCCATGTTGCACTTCCTCGATCTAGGGATGCGACCTAGTCGGCATTGGCGGCACGTGCCCCCGAAGAGAGGGGTGAGGAGCGCCCAACAAGCCTCGATCATCGAGCGCTCCTTGCTTTCCAGGCGAGGGGCGAGGCTTTATATCTCTACTGTATGATTTCATACAGAACATGTCGTGTTAAGCAAGATGTTGGCTAATACATGTTAGGAGTACTTTGCAGAAACAAATAAGCCTTCAATCACCTAAAAATCGGAGACGCTCGGATGTTTTTGAGGCCTGGGGGGCTTTTCTCGGAGACGTTCCTGGGGCGTTGGACTCTTTCCGAATGGCTGCCAGAGGGCCCATACATATATATATATATGTACATAGATTTGTATATGTGTATAAAATCCGAAAGCCATGGGGCGGGGCAGTGACAGGAGGTGATTAACTCATGTAGGAGAACAAACAACGGCATGACCATAAACTTTCGACGGCCCGCGCGGATTTCTTGGATCTGCGCTGGGCCCCCCCCCCCATGGCGCGCGGAGCGCGCCAGGGGCGGCGCCGGAGGCGCCGCCAGGGGGAGCCCAGGCGCGGAAAGGGAGCCCAGGGAGCCAGGGGGAGCCCAGGCGCCGCCAAGAAATCCGCGCGGAGCGCCAAAAGTTTATGCTTATGTTGATTTTTCTTCTCCGACCACGGGGGAGCGTCGACCCTCACCTGCCCATGTTCCTCCCCAACCGGGGCCTGCGCCCTCTACCCCGCCCAGGAACGTGCGACTTCGATCATCATCAGGGGCCTCTGTCAGTTGCCGATCGATCGGTGGTGCATGGCCGAGTACATGGTGATTGTCTCCCCCTCCGAGCCCGTACACACCCCCATTGCCAGTGACCCCTTGCGATTGCCCCTGATCTCAGAGTCGGGCCAGTTGAGACAACGCGGGCCCACGCGTCCAGCCCAAACCCGTCCCAAATTGGCTCCCATGACGTTCAAAATTGGTTCCAAGACCCCACGCTGACCTGTGTCTCGTGGCAAGTCCCGCCTTCGCGACAAGAGGTCTCCAAGAGACCCATACAAATAATGGAAAAAACAAGGCAGAGCAGGGCTCTGCTCGACTGGCCCTCCCCCGATGTATTGATTTGTTCCATGCGCGGTCCAAAGTCGTTTTTCCATAGAGTCCCCGAAGTCTCAATCATTCCATGGGTGCTGGCAAGTCCCTAAAAGCGTGGCGCTAGATGGTTCCAATCATGAAATAAAACCAGAGACCAGTCCCGCGGGCAGTAGGATGCCTGGTCTGGCAGCCGTTTCGCCTGAGACTTGCGCACTTTCGTTTCAGGAATCCTGCTGGCGCCCTAGCGTCGGCTACATGTTTGATCTGGACGGCCACGATCCCTTGTAGAATGTTCACATGGCCGCGCTCGGCAGCCGTTTCGCCTGAGACTTCTTCACAATGCATTCAGGACTCCTGCTCTCGCCTCCAGGACGGCTACATTTTCGGTCAGGACGGCCAAGACCCATTGCGAAAACGTACTAATGTGACACACGTGCACATTGCCGTACAGAAAAGAGAATAACTACCCAACCGCAATTCTGACTTCTCCAGTTGCAAGAGCTCCAATAAACACCCTCACCGCACCACGTGCGTCTCCTATGAATCCCCAGGAATACCCAAGAATGCACGTTTTCAGTCGCCGACCTTATACACCTGGACCCGCCTCTTCACCTTTGCTGCTATCAGGGTGCAAAACTGGGGCAATCCCATCCTGAACCGTGAATTGCAAACCCTGGCCCCGCGAGGACCCCAAGAGGCCGAGTGGAACATATCCGACTTACATGTCCCAACACATAGCAAATCTGGGACCCCCTCGGCAAACCAAAAAGATACCCTACTAGGGCCGCGACTCCACGGACCTTCCCGTGGGCGCGCTTCGCCCAGAATTTCGAGGCGAATCCAGCCGCGGTGGCGAAGGGCGGCATCGGTAGCGGTAGAGCCAGCCTTCTTTTTTATTCTGAGCCGATAACGGACATCAGGGAACGGGAGCCGAGGACGTCACGTTTAGCGCCAGCGGCGTCTAGGAATGCCTCGGAATGACCGAAGAAAGGTAGCAGCAGCATGTAGTTAGGTGGCGATCTGCACCACAGCGCCTGTGTACACCACAGTGCCTGCGTGCACCACAGCGCCTGTGTACACCATACCGCCTATGTACACCACAGCAGCCGCGTGCAACACAGCGCCAGTGTGCACCAGAATGCCTGTGTGCACCACAGCGCTGTTGTACACCACAACGCCTGCGTATACCACAGCAGCCGCGTACAACACAGCACCAGTATACACTACAGAGCCTGCGTGCACCACAGCACTGTGGTGCACAAAGGCGCTGCGTTGCACACGGCTATTGCGGTGTACACAAGCGCTGTGGTGTACACGCGCGCTGTGGGGTACGCGAACACTGTGGTGTACACAGGCGCTGTGGTGCAGATCGCCACCTACATGCTGCTCCTGCTTGGCCTCGGTCACCCGTAGGCATTCCTGGGCGCCGCCGGCAGCACGTGACGTCATCCGGTGGGCGAGGGGGGAGGGGGGGCCAAGGTGACGGTGACGGCCGCTATTCCGGAAAATCCCCAAAACAGGCGTATAGCTCTTCCCCCCTCTGAGCCCGCCGTTTGGCTCACGGCGAGGGGGCGGCCACCAGCGCGCCCGGGCCCGCGCAGCCACCAGGCGGCGCCGCGCCTCCGCCCGCCGGCCGCCCAGGGCCGCTGGCCGCCCCGGGCGCCGCCGAGCCCGACCCGCAAGCCGCGCCCATCCCGGCGAGCGGCGCGGCGGCCCGGGCGGCCCCGAGCACCTGGGCCGCGGGGCGGGCCGCGGCCCCGACGCGGGCCCAAAAGGCCGCGGCCGACGGCGGGGACAGCGCTGGCCCAGGAGGCCGCGTCAGCTGCGGCCCCGACGCGGGCCCAGAAGGCCGCGGATGCCGGCGGCGGCGACGATTCGACGGCGGCGGCGGCGTCTTCGGCGGCTGCGGGGCGGGGGTGGCGGGGCGGGGCCGAGCTTGGGAGTGGCGAAGCGAAAGGGGGGGTGCAGGGGGCAAGGGCAGGGGGAGGAGGGCGGGAAGAGGACGACAACGAGGAAGGCGAGGAGTCCACAAGTTAAGGCAGAGGGGGGGCAGACGAAAGCGAGACAGAGAAGAGGAGATGTATTGCATCTTCGGGGGACCTCGTAAGTCCCCGAATGCGACCATCCATTCGCCTCGAATCCGCGTCGAATCCATGTCGAGTGTCGAATCCGTGGCGAACTCACGTCGTATCCAAACGGATTCCACGCCGAATCCGCGCCGACCACGCGAAGAACATCAGAGAAGACCGCAATTTACAGAACAGGCGAAGTCCTCTAAAGATGCAACGTAAAAGGGTGGGCAGCACATATTATGGGAGGCGCGCTGCAAGAAGCACGCGGCAGAGGGCATGAGGGGCAGCTGCATCAGCGCCGGCTGCCGCAGGCACCGACAGAAGAGGAAGGGAGTTAGTGGGGAGGAGGTGGGGAGGAGGGACGGGGAGGCTAAAACATAAACGAAATCGGACAGGGATAAAACGGGGATCCTTGAGATCTGGTGGTTCTGGAGGGTTGTATCTGGCGCCGCGGCCTTCTTAGAGCCCCCCGCAACGCTCAGAGAGAGTTCTGGAACGCCTTAAACTGGCGGCTGACAGAGCGCGCTCTGTGGACGCTTGGACGGAAGAGGGGTTCTTATCAGCCGCCTGCTCCCTGAATTGCAAGGGGGCGGAGGGGGCTGGAATGGCCCCACTTCGAGGGGAGGGAACCGTGGGGGGAAAGGTGTGGTTCGAACCGCCCCCCCCCGCCCCCACAATCGACGACGACGACGACGACGACGATCGAGCCTTGGTGGAATGTGAATAAGGCTGGATCGAGCCCAAGTGGAGCTGGATCGTGCACTATTAGGATTCAATTAGATCTTAATGGATCGGGCCTGAACAGAACTCATTTGAGCCGGTTCCAATGTAATAGGATTATATGAGAATTGGGTCGAGCCGGGCTACGATGCCATTACGTCGTAACCAGCTGTAGTAGGGTCTAATTAAGAGCTTGACCCAGCCGTAGTAGTAAGATTCAATTAGACGTGGATTCTATTGGAATTTGATCGAAATATACTACGATGCTACTGAAGTTGGGTCCCGCTATAATGAGATTTCTTACATGTTTGAATGAGCACTGATCGGATTCTATTGAAAGGAAAAGGGGAGGAACCCGATTCGAGCCCTCCTCCAACCTCTCTGCACATGAGGGCGGGCCAAGGGGGGCCCAGCTCGACCACCGGGTGACTGCCTAGGCAGGCCGATGACTGAGGAGGGGGGAGGGGGGCTGGCTCTCTGGACGCTCATAATGTCTGTGTTTGCCCCCCCTCCCACTGGTTCCCTCGTGTCCATATATACCTATACGACCACCCTTGGGGTGATAAGGAGGTTGTGGGGGGAAGACGGGGGGAACCAACATCTGACACCATCGATCTCACCATCGATCTCACTCAACGGGACACCACGGGACACCACGGGACACCACGGAACACCACGGGACACCACGGGACACTTGTCGATCTCACTATCGATATCACTATCGATATCACTCAACGGGACACCACGGGACACCGCGAGACACCTCTCGATCTCACTATCGGTCTCACTGTCGATCTCACTATCAATCTCACTCATCGGGGCACCATAGGACACCACGGGACACCAACGGACACCTTGGGACACCATCGATCTCACTATTAATCTCACGATCGATCTCACTCAACAGGACACCACGGGACACAACGGGACACCTGTCGAACTCTCTACCGCCACCACGATCGATCCCATTCAACGGGACACCACGGGGCACCACATCGATCTCAATATCGATCTCAATATCGATATCACTATCGATCTCCCTCAACAAGACACCACGGGACTCAACGGGACAACGCGGGTCACCTGTCCATCGCACTACCGATCTCACTATCGATTTCATTGTTTGAGACACCACGGGGCACCTCGGGGCACCACATCGATCTCAGTATCGATCTCAATATCGATCTCAATATCGATCTCACACAACGGGACACCACAGGACACCGTAGGACACCACGGGACACCGCGGGACACCGCGAGCCACCACTGGACGGACGGACGGACGGGCGAGCGGGGGATAATCATTTGTCTTGACTTCGCCTTATCAACGGCGGACACCACGGGACACAACGGGACACCACGGGACACCGCGGGACACCGCGAGCCACCGCCGGACGGGCATGTGGGGTCTTGACTTCGCCCTAGCAACGGCGGACACCACAGGAAACCGCGGGACACCGCGGGACACCGCGAGCCACCGCCAGACGGGCGGGCGGGGGAGAATCAGTTGTCTTGACTTCGCCCTAACAACGGCGGGTTCATTCATCTCGCACGCCCACGCAGCTTCGCCTCGCCCGCACGCACGACACGAACGAACGAAAGGAAACGATTTTCCAGTTGGGGGTCTCCGTTCCACTGTGATCTCACCCCCCAACCTCCGATATAAGCTCGCCCCCCACCCCAGCACCTCCCAACGAGGATGAGAAGCAAGAGGAGCAGGAGGAAGAGGAGGAGGAGCAGGAGGAGGAGCAGGAGGAGGACGGAAGATGAGGAGGAAGAGGAGGAGGAGGAGGAGATTGCGGAGTAGGAGGAGGAGGAGGAGAAGAACGAGGAGGAGGAGCAGGAGAAAGGAGGAGGGAAGAGGAGGAGGAGAAGGAGAAGCAGGAGGAGGATGATATGGAGCAGTAGGAGGAGGAGGAGGAGGAGGAGGAGGAGGAGGAGGAGGAGGAAGAGGATGAGGAGGAGGAGGGGGTTTTGGTGGTTTGAGGGGACTGGGGGGGGGCTTCCTCCTCATCATCCTTCTCTTCCTCGTCCTGCTCATCTTCATCCACCTGCTCCCTCCCATGATCCTCTTCCTCCTGCTCCCTGTCATGGTCTTCATCCTGCGCCCCTCCCAAGGGGAAATGCATTGAGATACACATTCAAAGGATGGCAGCAACCGGGGCCACCGCCATCGCGAAAGACACAATACCGAAATCAACCCTCCGTCTAGTGAGAGCCGCCGCCAGATTCCCTGTCCAATGGCTTGAGCACAAATTGCAAGGGACCCCCCATCCTCCTCCTCCTCCTCCTCCTCCTCCTCCTCCTCCTCTTCCTCCTCCTCCTCCCTCCTGTTCCTCCCTCCTGCTCCTCCTGCCTCCTCCTACATCCTCCTGCCTCCTACTCCTGCTCATCCTGCTCTTCCTGCTCCTCGTGTTATTCCTGTTCCTCATCCTGTTCCTCCTCCTCCTCCACCTCATCCTCGTCCTCGTCCTCGTCCTCCTCCTCCTCCTCCTCCTCCTCCTCCTCCTCTTCCTCCTCCGAGTGCCAGCCAAAGCAGGTGATTGCTGTAAATATCCTCAGTCCACCTGCCAACCTGTCAATCGCCACTCTTGGCTCCAAGCCGTACGCGTTGGTTGCACCTGTCATCACGGTCGTATCTTGCGAGAATGAGAGGTGCGGCTGGGGGGAGCCCAGCGGCAAACCCGGTCTGCTGAAAGAGAAAGGCTTCTGCATCGACGCGCGGACGTGACGGCTTCGCCCACTGGCTGCAGCAGGGGCGCCGTCCTGCGGAAACTCCGAGCACGCCCTCGGCACAGGCAGGATCCGAAGTTGACCACCGCAATCACAAACATAAATTCTGTGATGCGGCAGATGTAACCAAATTTATCACATGCATGTCCAATGGTTGCGGTGGTCAACCTTGCAGGAGGCATGGCTGGCGCGGATCACGAACCCCGAGCTGGTCGCGACATGGCGGGCGGACCTGACAAGCGGGGTCGCAGACCCGGAAGGGCGCTGCCGCTCTGCCTCGCGTCGGCCCCAGCTCGGTGCGACAACGAGGGGGGCGAAGCTCCGCTGGTGCGCGCGGAGACTCTGCGAGCCGCAAAGACACCGCCGAGTGTCGAGCGCGCGGCTTCCGCCCCTGAGTTTCCGCAGGCACGGGGGGGCCGACGGTCCGTGGGCCAGAGACCAGGGCGCTGCTCGCCAAAGAGGTGGCTGCTGAGCTCGGCGGTCTGATCCGCCCTGGCGGGTCCGTCGAGGCAGGCGCAAGCGCCTCTGGTGCGCGCGAGGCCGGCGCCGCCGACCAGTCCTCCATGGGCGCCGCCGCCGCAGTCGGGGACGCCTTGAAGCTCGCACAGGACGTCGCCTCGCAGGTTAGCTGCGCGTTCAACTCTCTACCAGGTGTGAGTGCGTGACGGGGCGCCGTTCTCCAATTGTCTGTTGTCGATTCACCATGCCAGGGGCCTTCCACGTCCCTCTTTCCCCTGCTCCTCCACCCGCTGCCTCGTCCCTTCATTTCTTGCCCCCCAATCCTCGTCCGTTGTCTCCACCCCCTCTCCTCAGTCTTGTGGCCGCGACGCTATGGATTCTATTTCAGATGAGCACCAGGGAAACACTGCGCTGGCACGGTGGATCGACAGACGACGTCCCGCCTCGCGTTTGAGCACTCACCGCGAGGCGGAGTGGCCGTGCCAACTGCTCGCGAACACCGGCGCATTCATCGCGCGCGCCCCCGAACGCATCTTCTAGTTGCGGCGCAAAGCCGTGAACACGAACGACTTCACTCAAGCTGCCCAACAGATAATGCGCCAAGGCGGGTGGCACCTCACTTTGGTCGTGTCTGCGAGGGGCCCCAAATCGCCTGAGGGAACGCAGCCGACGCACAGCGTGGTTGGGCTGTCCTGGACGTCTTCGGGGCCCATGCAGTGCTTGAGCCCCTGGGGCCACGCGAATTCGTGCCCTCTCGTGTCCCACTCTGACGTCGGCGCAGGCGACGGGCAGTCGGCCCCTTTGCCGCTTCTCACAAGTGAACGGCAAGGGCGCCTGGCTGAAGCCAGCCTTCACGAAGGTCAAGTACCGCGACATTGCCTACTGCGGAAGCTCCAACAAGGAAAAGCGCGTCTGGGTGAAGTGCGGGACCCAGATCATCGACCGTGCGCGGGGCGGGTTGAGGCGACACCTTGGCCCCAGCCGCAAGGTGCGCTCCCGCGCGCTGGCAAACAAGGCGAGGTCCTTCAAATGGCGCTGCTGGAACAGGGGGGAGGACCTCTGGGCGCAGACGGGCAAGACGCTTACCGCCCTGTTCTCAAAGCAGCGCGAGTGAGCGAGCCCCTTCTGTCGCGGCAGAGGCAGCGCAGTCGTAGTAGTATTCGTCTCCGCAACGGCGTGGCCAGACGTAGCCGTCGTCGTCGTCGCGTCGTCGCCGTCGACCTTGCCACCGCCCTCCCGTGGCCCCATCCTGCCCCTCGCCGTGTCATGCCGCCGCTTGTGATCAGGCCTCATCAGCTTTCTCGCGTTCCTCTTCATCTCAGGCCTGTGCGCGCAGGCCTCGCAAAGACCCCCTGGCGCCGCGGCCATTGAGGCTCAACGGTCGACGGCCGTGTTCGCCAATGATCTCGCGCACTTCCGCCTGGCAGCTCCGTCCGCGACGCCGAAGCAGTTCTCGATGGAGGCTGCGAACTTGCCAGCTTGCGGCACGCAGCCGCTCGGGGTGCGGATGGGCAAGGAAGGGCACAGCAACGATGTCATGGTTGCTGCTTGGAACAAGGCGAAAGCTATGCCCATTCTTGAAATGCTGGCGAAGCCCGACCTAGTCGGCGAGGTGGGCAAGAAGGGTGCCGCGACCGTCTGGGACCTCCCCATCAAGCAGTGGAAGTATAGCGTGAGAATGCGCATCAAGGGCTTCGTCGACGTCGTGACGAACTGCGGCGACCTCTCGAACGTCGATTGGGGGGCTGTCAAAGAGGCCATGAGTAAAGGCAGGTACAACGACTTTCCGCCGCCCCCCGGCATCTCTGATGCGGGCCAGCGCGAGGTCCCCTGCGTGATGGGCCTGCGCGTGTCCAAGCCCATGCCTGATGGCGCATTCGTGGCGGTGAAGATATTCAATTTCCTCGGCGGTGGGGGGCGCATGGCAAACGTCCACGATAAGATCGCCGAAGGCGACCCGTGCGTCTTGGATTACCGTCCCGGTGCGTTCAGCACGGCGCGGGCGATGCAGGTGGTCATCGAGGAGATGGGGGGCTGAGTACTCCGCTATTGGAGCTGGCCGAAGCCCGAGGCGGCCGCGGAGGTCGACGTTGGCGAGGTCGCGGAGAAGAAGGCCGCTCTTGACAAGACTCGGGAGTTCGCACAGGCGGAAGCGCCCCGCGGAAATTTCGACGGCCAGAAACTGTTGCGGGTGGAACATCAGTTCGTGGACCCAGACTCCCCGATTGACAACATGAAGCGGGAGTTCGTGAACAGCGTGCTGAAGTGCATCGTGGATCGCGACCACTTCGCGGTCCGGGAAGACTACTCTCCTCTCTTGAAAGCCGACATCGCCGATGAGTACCAGCCGATGACGAACGGGATCCTGAAGGCGCTTGCCGGCAACGCGCTGCTGACGATCGGGGAGGATGGCTTCGGCAAGACGCCCTGCATGTACATCCTTGCCATGGCGACGGCCAGGTATAACGCGGATGTCGTGCGACGACATCCGCGCGTATCCACTGCCACTGGCCATGCCCGCGCTGAGCACATGGGCGATGGACGCGCCTCCCTGGCCAAACCACGAGGGCGCGTGCCCCGCTCCTGGGCGCGGGATGGGTCTGGCCAGGGACAGATGATATGCGCAGATCGCGTCGCCCTAGGATGTCGCGGACGAGCGTCGCCCGAGCCGCGTCCACCAGGCCGCCGTCCGCGCGTTTGTAGAGATGGATTTCTTCCGCGGAGAGGTCGGGGAACCCTGAGCGCCATGCGTCATCGATGACAGCGACCTTTCAGACCAGCGCCCGCGCGACCTGAAGTCGTTGTTTGACCCCGCGCAGGCCGAGTCAACGACTTGCGCGCGCTGGGGGGCCAAAGTTCGCGCGCGGCCAGGCGAGGCGGCATGCTGCGCCGAAACGTCGGGGCCAGCCAATTATCTTGGATGTTGTGGGAGGGTTTCCAGGTGCGTCCGTCAACGGGGAGAGCGATTGCAGGGCACTCGCCCCCCCCCCCCCCCCCCCCCCCCCCTTTCGCATTCGCCTAGGTTCGGCGGGGGCAACGAGTACAATGCCAGCGCTGAGCCGAGCCGCGAGGACTGGGCGTTTGCGTCGGCGTCTCCCGACGAGCAAAGCTGACCACGGCCTTCTCGGTGGACATGATTCGGCCTGCCTTCCCTAAGAGCGGCGCAGCGTCGGGCTGAACACCAAGGAGCCATTCTTCTTCAGGCCCGCTGGCAAGGACTCCGTCGCCGAGAAGTTGCCCCTCAAGAGCAGCTACAGCAAAACCTAAAGCTGGGAAGGTCTCGATGCAGTTCCTCGCGCACAAGAAGCGCCACGACCAGGAGGAGCACGCCGGGCCCCTCGCCTTCGAGAAGAAAGAGATGCTCAAGCTCGTGGCTGAGTCGCGCGCTGCGGCGGGCGCGGGCGGCGGCGGCGGGAATGGCGCCGATGGCGCCGCCGCAGATGGCAGCGCGACGGCGCGTTCTCCAGGCGGCGTCGAGGCATCGCCCGTTGGCAAAGAGACGTTCGCTCGCGACTGCGCCGCTAACGCTGGGGCCGGCGACGCTGCCGAGGAGGGCGCGTTCGGCTTTGGCGGCGGCTTGAGCGCGCCCGAGCCGACGCCCCCCAGGGAGCTGACAAAGGCGCGGGGCGCCCGCGTGAGCGAGCTCATCAGTGCCGAAACGACCATGGGCATCGTGGAGCCGTGGCAGGCGGGCGCTGCCTGGGGATCGAGCGGCGACGCGGTCGCTCCGAGTGGCGCGGCGGCGCCCGCGGACGCAGCGCCCGACGCGCAGCCCCCTGTCGTCGGCCGCCACGGCAAGCTCTCTGGCGAGGACCACCAGGAGCAGGTGGCGATCTTCAGCAGCCCCGCCAAGCTCCATAGCGGCGCGCACGAGGACCTGGTCACTCCACCGAGGAAGACCAGGAAGACCACATTGACCTGCAATGAGCCGCTCTCGCCAATCGACCACCCGGAGCAGCAGCAGATTTTCGCTTCGATGGCTGCTCAGGCGCATGGGGAAACCATCGACGTTGACGATTCAGACGTGGACATCGAGGCCGAGATGGCGACGCTGATCGATGCTAGCGCCGCGGAGATGGGCGAAGGCGCGGGCGGGCAGCCTTCGAACCAGTCGGCTTCATCAGGCCGCGTCCGATTGAATCTGTTGTAAGTGCCACGCGTCGATGCAATCCGCGATGCGATATGCTGGGCGGTTAGCTGGTGAATGCCCATGCGAAATGTGCGCGGACAAGCATATTGTTTATGATTGGTGCGGTCGGTGGTGGACAGAGGACTTGGCTCAGCGGCACCAGGGCGCGCTCAATCGTCAGATCGTCCGTCGTCCGCGCTCCACTGCTGCCGCCCAGTGCATTCGCATCCTGTCGGTTTGGGCTCAACGTTGCGGTGGAGGATGTTCGGCTCGGGAGGAAGAAGAGTTGGAAAAGGAGGAAACGGCGGGGGAAGAGGGGGAGGATGAGGACATGACCGCATGGGAGCATGGACTGCGAAGTTATGGCAGACATGGGTTGTGCGTTGGGCTTTCG